TTTGATCCTTCAAAAATCTGTGCCAAAACTTGACAATTCGAGATAATGATGTCAAGCAAGATGACAATAGAGAAGAAATGAACCCTGACATTTCCGTTATAAGAATAGCATTAAATTGGAGAATTCTCATAAAAATATATGCAAGTTTGCTCCTGAATTTCGATTCTACTTTTAATATAAGATAATTTTTATTCTGCACCAAACAAGAAAGTTTTGTTAAAACTTACTTTGTTAAAATATATAAATGTACATATCATATATTATCTGAAAAATTTATAAGAAGAGTGGCGCATCTCAAAAGTCATTAATTTTGAGATATTAGTTAAAGTTAACTCTAAAATTAAATCTTATTTTTATAATAAGCCTTTTTCATAAAAAGTCTTTTTTATTTTTATAGTAAACCTCTTTTTTATGATAAGTCTCATAATAAACTTCTTTTTCATAATTTTGTAATAAGAAATTTTTCAAATTAATTTCCTGGAAAATTGCAAGCTTTTTTGAATTGTGTCACTTTCCTTATAAACAGATGATATATATGATGATATATTGGTTTACAAGAAAAGCGAAACAAAAAAGTTTTAATTATATATATATATATACACATACACACGCGCACGCGCGCGCGCGCGCGCGCGCGCGCGCGTGTGTGTGTGTGTGTGTGTGTGTGTGTGTGTATTTTAGATAAATAGATATGTTGTGTATTTGCATGTATATTTAATGAATATCTTATTATTTAAACTTTTAGATGTAATTTTTTCTTAGAAAAAATGCAATTTGAGCAAATCTAATTACTTATCAAAGTCGATATATGTTACAAGGTAACAATATTTAAAAAAACTTGCCGATCATTTTAAAATTCTTTTTATAACAATATAAATGATCCATGAATATCTCTTTCTGCTAGTTCTAACAGATATTTTAAATAAATTTTTCGTGGAACTTGATATTTCTATATCAAGCTTTCATTTTCATTATTTCTTTTGTTAATATCAAATAAAAAATATATATTTTTATTTGATAAAATTTGTTCTATAACTTATTTATTTTCATTTAAAATCATTTTTAAGCAAATTTAAATATTATATTAACAAAAAAATTAATATAGAAATTTCTCGATATATTTTTCTATATAAACTTTTAACGCGCGAAGAAGTAAAATACAGAAAAACGGCGTAGCGAAAAAATATGTCATAAAATAAATTTCTTTGCACCAAAAAAAATTATTTTCTACAATTATTAATCTATATAATTTTATATATATACTATATAATATAAAGAACTTCATGAATGTGTAAAGAATGTGTAAAGAATTTAGTTTTCATTAAACATTTAATATTTTCCATTAGCTAATTGGCTACTTAGATTCTCTATGTAAAAGGAATTAAGATGCAATTTTAGATGCAATTAATTTTAGATGCAATTAATTTTAGATGCAATTAATTTTAGAACAAGAACATTTTGAAAATAATATAAATTGAAAATAATATAAATCAAGACGTGTAAGTACTCGTTTCTTTTATAATAATCTAATTGCAAAGAATATATAATTAATATTTATTTCTTGTCATAATAAATTCTTAAATATATTCCTAAATATATTCTTCTGTTAATGATAAATATCTTAAAATTTATCAATATTTTATAAAAGTAAAATTATATTCTGATTACATTAAATAAATTAAGATTTATTGACAAGTATGAATTAGTTGCATAATATGAAAAATTTGCTTAATTTTAATTTTTTTATGATTTATCTTTTATGAAATGTTTGGTAAATAATTGAAACCTAATTCTTAACAATGCATATTACTTATTTAATTACTATTTCTTATATAATTATTTAAACATAATAACAAGCAATTTTATTTCAGTAACAAATTTTTTATAAATTTATTTGTAGTTTATGTCTAATAAAAAACAAGCTATTTGCTTTATATAGTTTCTATACTTATATTGAGCAGTCTATACAACATAAATGTTTACTCAATAATGTATTGTGAACATACTTGCTGAATATATTTTAATAGTAGTCTGTTGATTTAGAGAATTCAGTCAGAATGAATATAATTCACTTTATGCTTAGCTACTATAATCGCTACTAATATCTAATAATGATGACATCGCTCCAATTACTTACCTATAATGAAGAATGAAGTGGCAAGATTATATGTCAGCACTTACCTGAAACAAGAAAATTAAAATATTATGAATAGATTATTTAATGCAATGAATAAATAATAACATATTAAATTAAACAATAACGTAAAACATTAAATTAACGTTAAATTAAAAAATTTATTAATTAGTTTTCTCTTCATAAAATTTTTTTAATTTTAATAACAAAATACTCGACAATAAGAATATTAATTGCTAAATATATTAAAATATCATGCTTTTATCTTACAAAAATTCTTACAAAAATTAGTTATAGTTTTAATTGATTATCAATTTTATTGAATTAGTTATAGTTTTAATTGATTATCAATTTTATTGATTATTATAATTGTATCTGTACAAAAATGTTTTCAACAAATAACAGATTCAAAATAATAATAATAATGATTTTCTTTTAAAATTAAAATTAAAAGATTTAGGATTATATGCAGAATAAATATTTTAATCCCTTCTCTCTCTCTCTCTCTCTCTCTCTCTCTCTCTGAAACAATATTATTGTTATGCAAAATTGTTTGCATTAATATAATAGTACTTATAATATAATAGTAATTTTGTGTATATATTTATATTATGTAAATTAAACAATATTTTTATTAAATTAATTAAGGTTGTCTCCAATTTATTTTCGTAATTACTTTGTGCAAATACATTGATTCTTTTAATCTAGAAATTAATGTAAGTTATAAATGAATTAAGCTATAAATGATGACAGTAAGAAAAAGATGACAAGAACAGAAATGACTACTAAATGAGAATATCTAGATATTTGAGAAGAATCTCGTTTTAATCTAACAATAAAAGCACTAAAGTTTTTTATTAAAAACATTAAAGAACTCTGTCATTATTTGAAAACGCAACATAATGATCTCTTCACGGTCAAAAAAAAATATAAAATCTTTTCTCATTCCCACGCGTTCCTAGAATGTTTTTAGAACATCTATTGAGTGGTCTTAAAATTTCTATTAAAAATAGACGATATTCTATCTAACGGATCAACATCGATGTCAGAACAAAAATTAACTTTTTTTTAATATCTGAATAAGTCTGATTTATGAACAATATAAAATCATTTCAAATTACTTCAATTTTGTCGCATGAATAAAATTATTCTTACAAAATTATAAACAATATAACTGTAGTTAGAACAAAAATATAAGCATAAATGGCCGCACATTTGTTTTAATAATAACAATAATAACAATAATAAAATTGCAAATGTTACATTAATACAAATTTCTACGAAATCTATATTTTCATGAGGTACAAGAATACATATTACATAAATAAATATAATATTTAAATAAAATAGTAAAAATTGTCATCATATATTTTATTTAAGAGAATTTGTAAAAACTTTATGAGAAATACAGGAAATAGAAACAACGCGTATTTCAAATATAAAAAGATCCCTTTGTCCCTATTTCAGAATAAAAGTTTTCTTCCATTTCAGTCCCTTCGGAAACCATTAAACATTATTTCATTCTAATATGACTTGAACAAAAGATTTATATCATGGTATCATTTTTCATAATTTTCTTATTGCTAAAAAATTGCACAAACATCAATGTACGCAATAAAATATATTTTTGAAAAAATATCGTTATATTATTGTATATATATATATATATATATATATATATATATATATATATGTATGTATATATGTGTTAATAGTCTAGTCACGTTTATATTTTTTTGTTACAAATTTTACAAGTTCCACAATTTATCAACTGTCTACGAAATTTTATATAGTCATGCGATATTACGTTAAATTTATATATCGTATGACACATAAAATGCATTCGTGGTTTTATTGCCTAACATGGTACAACAATCACTATTGGTTTTCGATGAAATGACCATACGTGCATATTGTCGATAACGATGATCGATAATCGAAAGCTTGTTCTTTGTCGCTTACGATGCACTCACGAGACAAAGCAGCTCGGCGCTTGCTCAATGAAAAAAAACTGATAATGATATTATTAACCACTTCCATAACACTTTTAACATTTTTATTTAAAAACATAGTCAAGCCCATTCGTCCATTTTATCAAAACTTATAGATATTAATAAGGTCACATTTTTTTCATTAAAAAGAAGTGCCAAAATAATAAAATTTCTTCAAGAAAAGACCTTAAATACATAATAATAGACAGAATACAACAAAAATTGTTATAATAAATATAATTTTACAATTTGTAAATCATGAACAGTAATTTTGCAAAATATGTATAATATTATGTAATAATGAATATAATAAATATTTTCATTTAAATTAAACATAAAGTTCAAACATAATAATAATAAAAGAAAGGAAGAAGATAATAAAAAAAAAGCAGAAAATAAAATAATAAAAGTATTGTCTAGGATAATAGAATTTTGTATACATAAGACGGCAAAATAAGCGATTTTAAATGAGCAAAATAAATATTATACATATTATGCATTTAATGTTTAATATTTAATGTTTACATGTAAGACAACAATCTCTTGAAGTGTCATGTATATGTGATTGATGGTAAATAAATCCAATTTTTGGTAATATAAAAATGCTGTTATTCACATTATATTTATCATTATTTACATTTTATTCCAAAAAAGTAAGAAAGAAATGTAAAATGTAAAAAATATAATTGCCATAAAGCCATATCTGTAAAAATTTAACTACTAAATTTCTATACAAAATTATGCTGAGCTATTAAGACAAATTATCGACTAACAAAATATAAATATATCCCCAGAGTGATGATGTAGAATGAAGGGCGTGACAGCGAGAACCAGAACTATCAACAACCAAGAACTCCAGCTAAAGACTAACGAACCTTTCATCCAATCTGAAGGACGACCTGGACAGGTCGCTCCATGCGCTCATGCTCCGGCTACGTCTCCTGCAAGACTGCTGCGGTGCCAGCAGCCTACAACTGCTCCTTCGCCTAGTGGACGCCAGATTCTCTGCTTGAAAATAAACCCTGGGCGCCTTTTGCTGAGACGCATTCGGTGGTGTCGAAGTCGGCGTGACCGCTGCAGAAGTCTGGAGTTCCGGCAAGGCCTCGTAGTCCCATGCTCTGGCGCCCATATCGAGCAAGGGTACCGACGAGGCTGCGCTGGAACCCGCACGAAGCGGATCCCGAGGCTTACGGTGATGAAACAGGGCGAGGATCTTACAGCACGCCGGCTCGTTTTCCCCTCCCCTCTTCTTTTCGTTTACTGCCGGCAGCTTCACTTTGAAGCGATCACGAAACGTGTAAGATTTACCGGCGACGTCCGGCCACATCGTTCTTTCTGCGACCGCATCGCTAATGTATTTTCTCCGATCACTCAACAAAACGATTATAATTACGCAAACGGGCGCTATGAATAAATCCAAAGGAATATTTAATTGCTTGATAACGAAGAGGAAAATTTGACGAATACTGAACGCACATCTTGAGAATATAATACTCGTAGCGCGTGTAATAACAATCAACTGATTGTATAAGATTTGTAAAGATTTAGGATTTGTCCATCCTTTTTATAATCATTACTTTGTTTTGCAAAATTATAATGTAAATACTTGTATTTTATAGCATTTCTGTCCTCACATCCAAAATAATTCATTAATTTTATATAAGTCTGATTTCACTTATTGTATATCTTGTACGTATTGTTCCTTTAATTAGAATCAAAATCATGATTAAAGAAAAGTCACTGTCAATAAAGATTCAAAATTGCGCTAAAAATTGCACAATAAATTTGCAAAGTTCTGTTTCCAGTTTTTATGGAAGTTTCAAAGATTACGCTCTTCAACGAGAGAACATCATGCTTACATAATATGACACTATAAAATGTATGTTTAAAATTGTTTTACTATTTGATTATATTCTAGCCAAGAAGTATTGTCTTGCTTATGAAAAAAAAAGCTAGAAACACACGATCGAGGCAAAAGTAAATCGACGAAAGAACAGTAAAAGTAATCTTATAAGACTCATTCGTCCATAATGAACAGAACTTTCAGGCGATTTGAATAATTGTGATCTTGTGTTTGATCTATCGATAAATTTGCATCAAAAGAAGTTTGTAAGTTCTGGCTCTTCGAGTGTGAAAAAAAACATCTGTTTTTCAATTGCTCTCTTCTTTCAAAATAAGATAGAAGACAATACTTGCAGATGTGATAACTTTGCGAGGTAATATCATGTAACTAAAATATTTCCTATTTATTGTTATTATGTTATTATATGTACGAGTCATCACTTCTATTATTTTAATTAATGTTCATAAAAATTAACAGTTACTTTTTAAAAGCAGTTTCTCAAAATTTTAAGTTTCAACGAGTTTAACAAAATTCACATAATTAACGTTTCGATATAACAGATATAAACTATCGACGATATTTATTTATTTTTTTTTGTTAATAATTACAAAGATAATATGACTTGTGCTGGCTATTCTTGATCATCAAAAATGTCTCAAAAAGAATAGTCGAGATAATAATGATGATCAAGCGTAAAAAGAGCAACATTCTAAAATCTCTTTCTATTTTTGCTCAGCTGCTATCGAGCTTTGATTGACAAAAAGGAGTTTCGTGAAGATCGCTTTTTGCATCACTATTTTTGGCACTAAATAACACTCACGTTGAATATATTGCTATAATCATCGCAAGATAACAATGACGATTAATTGCAAATAACAATGGAAGCGTGAAGCATTAACGCATCTTGCGCAACAGAAAAGTGTTCAACAGTAATCTTAAAATCCTTTTGTATTGATTCGCATTTCATTCGCGGATATCTCACGAAAATGATAAAATGCACTTATATTAAAGTACTTTGTAAGAGATGAGTCTTTTTAAGTGAAGATTAAAAGACAGAGTTTTCTGGTACTCCACGAAATTATCTTTGATCAAGGTAGGGCAACGTTTATCTCAAACTTATACTACTTTACGTATATTTTATGTATTATAAATTTCTTTCTGAATTATTAACGATTTTAATCAAATACGCAACAGAACCTCAGAAAAATATTGTAGTACCAAAATGATATAATACACCGCTCACTTCTTTTGAACAATTATTACTTTTTTTCTTTTGAGCAAAAAATACATATTTTATATAACAAATCTCGCTAGATTCATCTAAAAGATGATAAAGTAATTTTTAGTTAGTGAATCCTCAACACACTTTGATTGATTGCAACTACTGTCGACGTGACAGTAGCGATCACAAAAGCATCTCGAGACACCTCGTTTCCGTCTGACCTGAATGACGTCACATGATGACCGAAGGTCACGGTCAAATAAAAGGACTACACAAATACGTTTCTTTGTGAGATTTGCAAAATCAACTATATCTCGATAAGATTATGTCAGCTTTATCTTTCTTAAAATATTACTTAACATATTTCTATCAAATCACTTTGTTATTTGTCTCAAGTTTAAATTGTGTTTGTTTAATTATTTTCGTTTTCAGTAATTTAGTGCTTCAGATTTCATTGATTTATAACTTCAGTCTCTTAAATATTTTACCAAATAACAATCATATTTCACATGTACGAGAATATTCACTTTTCCGTTTTTAGAATTTCAGAGTTTAACAACGGCACATGTGGATGTTTTAAATTCTTGTCTAGATCTTCCAGTCAAGATTTTTTAATTATTATTAGAAACAAGATGTGTTTCTTCGTGTCGTGACATAAGTCCAAAGTATAATAAAACCACTTGTTTTCTTGAGAATCTGTTTTATATCAATGGAATGGAAGAGCGATAAGAGAACTTTCAGTTATTAAAGTTTCTTGACTTTTTCATAACATTTCCTCACATTTTGGAAACATGTCTCAAAATTCACATATGTCAGACTAATTTTCAATTACTTAAAAATTCTTTTTCATACACCAATTGAGTTTCTATCGGTAGATATGGAAACGTTGCAATTCTTCATGTATCAAAGTTCCAATTCTTCAGAATGTGTCATGAATGATAAGGATATCAAAACTTCAAATCCTTGTTTAGATACCAATAAGTCGCAACACTCTCGCCGCAGGTGGAGCGTCTTCACGAGGATATCGTTCCACTGTCGCTTCTAGAAGTAGATAAAGGAAGATCGTTATCCACTTCGTCATCCTCCGACTCGCTACACTCAGGAACAGGTGCCTGCATTGTTAGAATTTGCTCCGTGTGAGCAAGATGTGACGATACGTAGAACGCTTTGTGATTTAAGAACGAGATTTTTAAAAAAAGATATAACGTTTCTCTGATGTTGCGGCTGCACGCACTCGCGATATCTCTCAATCGACGTTGTTGGTTGTCCAACCTACAGTCGTCACAGATGTGGGATCTAACGGGTGTCGTGCTGGAGTACATACGACGAAATGCCGCATCGTCCTTGACATTCGACGATGGTGTCACGATACTGGTGTCACGATACAAACAAGATATGGCTTGATTAAATCCTGAAAGAAATCTCGAACAGCTTCGAGAACAATCGTGCGTGATTCTGATGTCACTTCCTCGTACACATTATGTCACAAACTAGAACAATAACAGAAATCGAACACCCTCATAAAGTGCGGAATGGCGGAAAGCGAAACGGTATATTATCTAAACGCTAGTAGCTTTTTCGCGGCGTGAAAGAGGAGACTAACTCATAGCTCACTATCCCGTACTGCGGTACATGCTAGCGGTTTTCTCTCGCGCGCCACCCCCTTGTGCCTCGCCAACCTTCCAACCCCTATGTTCCTTTTCTCTCTCTTTCTCTCTCTCTCTCTCTCTTCTAGCTAGCACCATCAAGCGCGCTGTCGTACTTCGTCCTCTCTCTCTCTCTCTTCTC